CCTTTTCTTCAGTGAACCAAGATTTTTAAAATGGAAGGTGTGGCATCGGTCTGTTTTTCACACTACTTTGAGGTCACACCTTTGGCTCTATGCATGTATTTGTGTCCATCCAACTGGAGGACATCAGTTGGTTTTAGAGTCAAAGCAGCAATCTAGAAATGAATGCCTCATATCCTAGCAGTTAGCATCGTGGCCATTTCTTCACACTACTCCCCTGCCCCATCCCTCCCAAATCAAATAAACGTGGTTTTGCAGAAAACAGGCTTGAATCTTGCACAGTAACTTTGTTTTCTATAGAGTGCTAAATGAGACAGCCACTTAAATGCAGACATCTGATGGTAGATAGCTCTTTAAGCCAGCAGGCTGGCATGCTGCAGCAGCAGCTGAAGCTAGCTAATTGCAGATCAGATATAGGAAACAGATAACAAGAGTAACTAACCAGCTGTAGTGGATTCTCCAGTGCTGAGGTTTCTAAATCTAAAGCAGATTATCTTTTTGGGAGGACTGCAGTAGTGCCACTTTAAGTCTTTGAAAGGTTCCTGTAATACTATGGCTTGTAATACGTGATCCTCCTGACTGGCCACACACAACAGTTATTTTTAGTTTTTGATTATGAAAGTCCTGCGCACGCTCTGCTAACAAGAACTGTCCCTAATCATAGATTATAGCTCCCTCCTGTGCATTGCATGCTCAACTTTAAAATAAGCATGGTTCTGACTTGCACTAAAAAACCTTGTGTAGAAATTCTGCAAAACTGATGCTGCTTATTAAGGCACAATAAACAGATAAAAGAAAGCTGTCCTAGTGTAACAAATCTCGTTCTTCAAACCTGAGGCACAGTCTGCAGATCCCGCTAGCTCAGTGTGTGAAATTTTGAGCTCAGTGATAACACCAGACTTTTGTTGCTGATTGTAGCAGGTCAAGCAGCTGCGCTGGCCATCTTGGAGAGACTGGAGGAAATGTATTGCATAGAGGTGCTGAAGCAACTGCATCCCCCTAAAAATTTAACTGTAGTTTGATATATCACTTTGTAAGTAAATCCCTGAAGAGCAAGAAAGCAATTGCACTGTTAAAAGCCTTGTATTATAAAACAGAAGGAGTGAGGGAACTGTACCTGCAGAGGTTAATCTTCAGCACAGGAATTTAAATGAACTCATTAAAGCCAACTTACAAATTAGCTCATTAAAATGCAATGCTGCAGATCCAGAAGTTGGTTGATCTGGCATGCCACTTCTATGAAGAAGTGACTTAAGAAACAGAGAACAAATTGATAGTATTAAAACTGCCTTTTTCTTTCCAGTCCCATAAATCCTCATCTGGAACTCCCTCTTCCTTGAACTCTGTGTGAACAGCATTTTTTGTTTAGTGAATTAAGCTTGTTTGATCCTGTGCTACAAGTGCTGTGTAGTATCGCTAGCCTCTTGTAATGAAATGTATGTCTGTACACACTTGTGCCCTCCCACATGCATAGGAGCTCCGTAATTGAGGCCCTGGCACCAGGGGTCACAGCAATGATCATTTTCACTTATTACCTTGATAACGAGACTCTATCAGCTGCTGGCTGTAGTGGGTTTTATTTCCTAGTGTTTAAATTCTAGATAATCATACTACTCTACTACTACCATTAAAGTAATGGTATTGTTTAGGGGGAGGAGGGAAAAAAGACTCAAATGAGTTCTGCTATAATTATATAGACCTGTTCAGAGTATCTTTTATATAACTACAGTGCCAGTGATTAAAACTGGCCTTACTCTTACAGCTTTTCAGTTGGTTCTTACATATCCCAGAGGCACATAGTAGGCAATACAGAAAATAAAAATATAAAGAATTTACACTCCAGCTATATATTCTGCAATAATATTTATGTGTGTGTGTACATATATACAGAGAGAGAGAGAGAGAAACTCCAAGTACAATCTGAGTTAATTGGTAAATTTTAAGCTAACCTCACTAAAGCCCCTATCCACATCAAAAAATCTGTAG